CCAAACCAATTACTGGGGCAACCATTAGAACCCAAAGAGCTTGAGTCCCATGAATCAAGTAGCCCAGAAGGGTCTTGAACAATGCCCTTCTTGAGCTCCAAGAGTGCAGCAAAATCAGACTGCCCCAATACATTGACCAACAAGAACAGGCATATTATCAAACAGGTTACGTGCATTGCTTCAAAACCCACCAAACAGCCCAAAATCTCCGTGGGAAAAAGCCAGTAAACAAAGTACTTGAACTAGTTAACAGATTTCAACCCCAATTTGGGAAATCAAAACAAAGGAATCAAGCAGAAAACAGAGCAAGAATTAACGAAACTCAGAAATCGCACAAAAGGGTACGAGCAAAATCACTTGCCGAATTCAGGGGTCGGATCCCAAGACCTGCTGAGTAGCAATCGTAATGGGAAGTGAAGGAAAATCAAAGGATAGGTGAAGAACACAAGAACCCACATTCCAAAAGAAGTGGAAAAGTGAAAATGAGGGATTTAGGAGGGTGCAGAGGCCATAGAGATGGAGAAATGGAAATGGGTGGAGCTAAAAATTAGTGGAAAAGTAAGAAAATTAAGAGAGTCCCGAAGTGCCAACGAATCAGCTATAAACAAATTGAAAGAGGATGAAGGAGATGAGGGTTTTGATTCCTTGGCTTTGACTTGGAGACTTCAATTTTCTTTCAATAGTACAAAGAATCAGATCCCAATGCAAATCGCCTCATACAAGATGGAGAGATGGCTCACCCCTTTCTCTTGTGATTTAACTTCGAGTCATAGCCCAACGTCTCGTGTTCAAACTTTTGTGATATCGGTTTCTATTCAATTGATATTGATTTTCGTTTGTTGGACTCTTTTTAGCTCAATTACTGTAGAGTCAGATGATAATTGGTGTGCAGGTGTGTTATCCATTGAGTTATGTTCGGATTGACAATTAATCTTTTTAAAAAGTATAAGAAAAACATTGAGACATAATAATTTCGCTTGATAAAAAATAAAGAAGTAAAAGAATTATTTAAACGTCTTAAGAGATAGGCAAGACATGGAGAACAGCATTTGGTAAAAAAAAATTGACACAAATGTGAAAGAACATTGACAAGACATTAAGAAAAATAACGAAGTACAAGAATTATGAACGCCGTAAGGACTAGGCAAGACATGAAGGATAACGTTTGACCAAAAAAATTGACTCGAATATGAAAGAACATCAACAAGATGTAATAATTTAGTTTAAGAAAAATAACGGAGTAGGAGAATTACAAAAACACCCTTAAGGCTACGTAAGACATTAAGGACAACATTTTGGCCCCAAAAATGGACACAAATGTGAAAGAACATCAATCTAAGCGTAATAATTCAGCTAGAGAAAAATAACGAAGTAGGGGAATTACAAAATTATCCTTAAGGCTAGGTAAGACATGGAGGACAACATTTGACAAAAAAAAACTACACAAATGTGAACGAACATCAACCATACGTAACAATTTAGTTTAAGAAAACTAACAAAGTATAAGAATTACAAAAATGCCCTTAAGGCTAGGTAAGACATGAAGGAAAACATTTGACAAAAAAGAAGTGACACACATGTGAAAGATAATGTAGTGTAAGAATTACAAAAATACCCTTGAGATCAGATAAGACATGAAGAATGACATTTGGCCAAAAAAAATTGAGACAAATGTGAGAGAACATCAACGAGACAGTAATTTAGTCTGAAAAAATAACGAGATAAAAAAATTACGAAAATGCCTTTAAAGCTAAGTAGGATATGAAAGACAACATTTGACAAAAAAAAATGACACAAATGTGAAAGAACATCAACGGGATGGAACGATTCAGTTTGAGAAAAATAACGTAGCGTAAGAATTACAAAAATGCCCTTAAGGCCAGATAAGATAACATTTGACAAAAAAAAAAAAGACAAATGTGAAAGAACATCAACCAAACATAATAGTTTAGTTTGAGAAAAATAACGTAGTAAGAATTACGAAAATGCCCTTAAGGCCATATAAGACATGAAGGATAACATTAGACAAAAAAAAAACGACACAAATGTAAAAGAACATCAACCAGACATAACAATTTAGTTTGAGAAAAATAACGGAGTGTTACAATTACAGAAATGCCCATAAGACCAAATAAGACACAAAGAATGGTATTTGACTAAGAAAAATTGACACAAATGTAAAAAAAACATCAACAAAACATAGTAATTTAGTCCGAAAAATTAACGAGATAAAAGAATTACGAAAACGCCCTTAACTAAGATGTGCACTAGAATTGAATGCAAGGGCAATGCTTTTAATGCAAAGATACCCAAAGAAAGTGACACACAAAACCATCCTTTTAAAGAGACAAAAAAGGGCATACAATTTTGGAAGGAAATGGGTTACAATTTTTATTTAGATTCCCTTTACTATGTTCTTTGTCTTCTTGTCCTTTTCATTTTCATTCTCCATTATCTCTTCACTCTATATGTTGAGCCAAAAAGAGAATTTACTTTTTTACTCTTCTTTTTTTTTTACCTTTTCAACTAACCATGATAAAGGTGAATTCATGAAACAAGTTACCATACAAGAAGTTAACTACCCCACTTTCAAAGGTAAGTAATTATATATTTTTTTTTGAAAGTTTATCACCCAATAATTGTAAATAATTGAATAAAAAAGTAAAAAAAAAAAAAAGGTGTTGAACGAACAGTCGAACTAGTCTGTATTGAGTTGTTGCAAACTAAACCCACAATTATGTTGAGTCGTTTGGAATTGGTCGAACCCAATAAAAAATCGCTCTTTTATGACTCGAACACAAGTTTAAAAATTTGTGGGAGTCTCTTAATATAAGCAATTCGATCTATCATGAGTTGTTCGTAATTAAAATTGAATCAAAAGTTCATTTTACCCCTTTAATTACATCTGACACCTTAAGTACTACTGATTCTCTAATAAACATTTGTTTATAATCCAACTAGAAACTAAGTTTCTCTCGGACTAGTGAGAGAGTGAGACCATTGTTTAAGTTCTGAAATCAACACTGAATGAAGCTACTCATCTACTTGTTCTATATGGGAAGAAGACATCTCGTGAAGTTATGTTACCAGCTCCTTATTTGGTCAAGTCTGGAAAATAGTAAACATATTGAATCGGCTACAAAAGTCGTTCTCACTCATACAAATCAACGGACAAGGTGGGTCGTATCAATAGTTATACCAAGATAAGATATCCAACCTTATTATATGCCAACCCTATATTAAACTGTAAATAATTAATTAAGAGATTTTATGGTATAAATTCTAACATCTTCCTTGTGAGTGTTTCTCATCTTCTTTTCAGGTGGAATGTTGATCTTCTTCTGTAGTGAGGCCTGACAATGAACAACCGTGTTGGGAAGAAAGTGATCAACCGAGAGGAGAGGGAGTAAATCACGAGATCTCACCATTCACCATTCATTGGATAGATCTAGCTCGGTTAGTAGATGCCAAGATCGCGTCAATGATGGAGGGCATGTCATCTGTTAGTTGAGTATGCACCGGTGCAATAACGTGAGGTTTTCCAACTTGAAATATGGGAGATAGGGAGGACTAAACTCAATGAGCTCGACATTTAAAATACGAGGACTAAATTTCAAATTTTAAATATCAAATTCGATTCAATCTCCAATCGATTATAAAAAATCTTATCTTAGAAAAGCATGACTTTACAATTAATTTACAGTTAAATTAGAGGTTGTAAAAGCTTTACAAAAAGAGACAGTTTTAATAAGAAAGCAACTTTTAGAAACAAGAAAGACAACAATTTATGATACATTAATGATAATAAATAAATATGGTTGTTTCATATTTGTCAAATCTAATAATGAGAATTTGATTTAACTCTAATAATTATGTAATAATGTTGAAAATCAAACTCAAATAAATGTTAATTGAAAATTTTGCTCCTATTTTTTCTTAAAATACATTTTAATCACAATCAAATTTCAAAAACTATATTTTTTTTTTTTAACTTTTAAAACATCTACCGTTCCCAAATTCATAGGTAATAGTAATATTTATAAACTTAAATCAACCTTTGATTCATATTCACATTTCAGAGTGAAGAAACTAACTAAAAACCAAAAACGCTAGTATGGATTAGTCAAACCACACATGCGAGATCCCATATTGGTTGGGGAGGAGAACAAAGCATTCTTTATAAGAGTGTGAAAACCTCTCCCTAACCGACGCGTTTTAAAAACCTTGGACTTGGGCTGTTACAACATATACCAAAACCAACTTGTTAACTCAGATAGACAAAGAAGCAAACATCTCAGACTTAGCTTTTAGTACAAATTCCGCTTAGCCAAAGCGAAAACCAATTGATTTGCTTTCGGTTTTTAGTTCCTTTACACCGAACGACCAACCCAAACAGCCTTTAACTCGAATCGACAGGCAGTCAAGGTCAGTACTTTTGGTTTTTGCTAGCAGCTCTATTGGAATCTACTAGTACCAACAAAGGACCAAGATACAAGAAATTGTCTATCTCTAGGAATCAACTAACTTGTATTTCCCTCACTTTCTTGATTCTTAATGAAGACTTAAAGAGTCACCAAGCCATATCTTGTCCTAAGTACTACACACAAACTCTCTCTTTCTATGTATTAGTCACTTTTAGGAATGAAAAGAATGATCTTTAGCTCCAATTTGGGCATATTTGGCTCGATAGGAACACCAAAAGGCCTATCAACAACAAAGATGCAACGGCTCAAATCCACCGCTAGCAGTTATTGTTCTCTTTGGGCTTCCCCTCAAGGCTTTAAAACGCGTCTGCTAGGGGAAGGTTTCCACACCCTTATAAATGGTGGTTTGTTCTCCTTCCCAACCCACGTGGGACATCACAAAAGATAACTCAACACTCTTAAACTCAGACATATGCATACCTTCAACCAATTGATAAAGCTCTTTTGGCTTCATTGCTTCCCCTTTCTCTATCCAAATTCCTTCACAAGGGTCAGAAAAATACATAATAATAATGATATAGCAAGGTTTTTAGATTACAGAAAAGAAGAAAATGCACAAAATGATTGATTTCTATAATTTAACATTCTGAAACACTTTGGGTAAGTAAACAAAAAGGCAGACTCATATGGCAAAATAAGAATTGTTGAAGAACAAAACTGACAAGAATATTACTGGGGAACAGAAGATGGGGTAGAGAGTTGAACCCAGGCAAACTCCTCTTTATATGCTATGCTGGACTCACAGGAGGCTTCACATGTATAGACAACAATTGTCGCCCAGTCGAGTGAATCCACGTCGTTCTTTACCCCGAAATAATAAAGCAACTGAGGCAAGATCTGTTGTCACCCAAAGAAAAGTGTCCAACTTTTAAAACTAAAAAACATAATGTGGACCCAGAAACAAGAGAGGAACAGCTTCCTTTTTTTCGTGTTGGGGGGGGGGGGGGGGNGGGGGAAGAGGGGGGTAAATACAAACAAGTTGCATAAAGTACCTGGAATTCATAACACATGGGACCACTGCAGTAACTGCATTTTGGGATATCTGCTTTCGAAGGCCGACCACTTGACATTGGCCATAAAGGTTTAGATCCGTCATCTCTACAATATCTGGTTTCAATTTTTATTAATGAAATTAATAGCATGTTCGACGTTGAGATGAAAAACGTGAGTAAAAATGAAACGGCACATTTCGATCATCACCAAGTGTGATAGCACCACTTGCAGTTGTAAGAATAGGCTCAAAATGCTAATATGACTAAGATTTTAATTTTATTTAGTCCCCTGATTCGAACAGCCTCTAGGGCAAGAGAACTTTTTACTTCATTCTTAATTTACAAAATATCAAGCTACTAATCAAATCTTATGATTAGTAGTTTCGTATGAAGTAATCACAAACCCATGATCGAAGTCCGTTTGGCCATGGATCTTTGAACATGATCAAGTTCAATAACTTAGTAAAGCAGAAAACTTGAAATATTAATATTACCTCAAGACTTGTTCAGGCGCCTTTGATAAGCGAACTTGAAAAGAGGCCCAAGACTTTCTATCATCATCTCCCTGTATACCAAAATTTCATAAAATTTATCACAAAAAAACTCCTCTTTCAATGAAATTCCGCACTTTCATAGATAAATGGAAGAATACAAATAAACAGTATAGAAAAAGAGAAGAACAGACTACAGAACAGGCCTCCTATACACAATGAAACCCAACTTGAGATTACAAAAAGGACTTCAAATCTTAAAAATATTGAAGAAGTAGAGATACAAAAAGAGGCACTAAGCCCACTACAAAAGAAAACTTTTCAAATGATATACGATAAAGATCGATACCTCAAAATTGGCCAACAAGGATTTCATCGAGTCATCCATCCTATCCCTACGAACCAAAGCATTTGCATGGGAATCGTCCTGGGATGTTTCCATGTTGAACTCACTCTCGTATTCGTGTATGATACCAAATTCAGGCCAAAGATGCTTCTTTGAAACTGTCGGCCAAAGCAAATAATTCTCAGTTCAATTTTATGAGTTACTTCCCCTGCAAATCTTAGGCAGTGTTATCAAAGTGCTAAGGCGCACTCTAAGATGACAACCTCTTTAATCACCTCATCGCAAGAGGCGACAAAAAGACATTGTCCTACTGAAGAAAGGCGCACTTAGTAAAATGATTAGTAAATAATATTTTTGACAATAATAAACAAAAGTACTTGGATTTTTAAAATGTTAAAATATCAACAAAATTATGTAAGTTTCAAACTAAAACTAACTTCTGCTATTCTTTTTCTTCAATTCTTCTTCCTTGGTTTTTCTTTAACTTTTCTGCTTTATTGAAGGATTGAAGAAGAAAATTTGGAGGAAAAAAAAAAAGAAAATTTGAAGAATGATTGAAGAAGTGAAAGCAAGCGCCTGTGTTGCCTTGAACGGCAACTGAAAGGCGCAAAAGGCATGCACCTCATCGAAGGTGCTTGCACTGGGTACTTGCAGACGATAAGGCCTTGCCTCACCTGTCGCCATAGGTGAGCACCTGGTTGTGCGTTAACAACACTGATCTTAATCAAGCAATTGATCCAAGAGCTTCTACTCGATATAAATGTTTTTAAGGTAAGTCCTACTATATATATATATATATATAATAAACTACATAGATTGCAAAAGAAACCGGACATCCAAGGAAAGGGCCAAATCCAAAAAAATAAAATAAAGAACACAAATCTTCTAATTCTCTAACGAATAATAACCCTAGAGAAGTTTTTTTTCTTTACCAACCTTTCTCAGTATCTGTTTCGTATTGACTGTAGATCTGTCCAGAACTTGACAACTGAGAAGATATGCACATTCTTTGGCAATCAGTTTTATGCCCAGTACGCCAATGAATAGCCTGAAGTTATATAGAATAAAGTTTGGAGGATCAGAACAAAGAAGTTAATTTGGTTTTACTTGTCAAAAGTTCAGAAAACAAGAAATTGTACTTGCAGCCCGGTGCAAATACGATACCTGATGTTGCTCAGAGCAATAGCGTACTTTTCTACACTTGCTACAAACTTTGTCTCCTTTCCAAGTACCACACCAGCTACAAGGTGCAACTAAAACAACATCAAATATGTTAGAAGATATTTCATAAATCAGCAAAATTTTGACGAGCTTTAATGAATAAATGTACTTTTGAGGCCTTCAGTAGAAAGAAGAATAAATCAAAACTACCTCCAGATGCACAAGGTTTGTCAGTCCCATCATGTTTTGGGGCTTCACTTGAGTAAAAGGGATTACTACGAGGTAATTGGCCACGGAAAACTTTCACACTACCAAAACAATTACAGAGTTACTAGAGAAATTTTTAAAATGTAGGATACTGAATAAATAGAAGGATATCATAAGAAAACCAGCTGGTAGTACCTTCTAGATGACTTCTCAGACTTGCTTTTCCATTGCTCATGTTGATCTCGTAGAAGACAAGTCATTGATGGACACATAAACACAAATAACGTTCGATGAAATGTTGAGTCCTTCTCCACAATAGGAGCATAAATCTAACAATTTATTGAACAGGAATAAACCATCATAAGCTATACTTCCATGTGGAAATGTCAATAATAGTCTGCAACAATACGAAACTATATGATCTCAAAAAAAAAAAGTTCACACCTCGAACAATAAACACAAGGTATTTCCTAATTAACTCCTCAACATGTTCCCAGATGCAGAGCCATTGGACTATAAATTTAGAAAACCTTTCTTCCTATTCGAGTTACTGTTTTTTTTTAGATAATTGAGATTGAAATGCAGAAAGCAAAAGAAAACACCCAAAATATTTGAGAACAAATATCATTCGAACAAATACCTGGAGCAGAAACTGCAGAGGCTCTCCACATATATCACAAACACAAGACCTTCCAGACGGCAAATTCACTGGATCCAACCAAGCCTGCGATGCCAATACTTAAGTCATAATAATTCTAAGTGAACAATAACTATCCAACTTCAGTACAATTCAATCTTACAAGTAGAACAAAAAAACATTTTCGATCATCACATCACTAACAACATTGAAGTTCAAGCAGAAAATTGATAAAGAGATAATATAAAAGAGAAATTCGAAGAATATGGACTGTGCTTACACACCGGTACTCCTCCAGCCTTGCTTGGAAATAACTGAGGAAGAAGAGACCAAGAATTTTCGGGCTTCTCAACAAAACCCAAAACCACTGATTCATCTGATTCTTCATCCTCATCATCGTCATCAGTGTCAGAGTCATCTAGCAATTCTTCATCATCATTAATGTCCTCGTCATCCAAAGAGGTGATACGGAGGCTATTAAGTTTTTCCATGGACTCCACTGCACCATTGCCAATTTCATCCATATCGACGGGCTAAACCTCAGGCTCCAAATTTCATCAACCACAAGCCAAACCTGTCGTTTAACAGATGATAATCAACCAACCAAGAACACTCATCGGCCATTGCCATTCGATCAAACTCAAAATGTTAGTTTGTCTTGTCTTCTGCTGGTTTTCTTAAAATTGATAACAAAAAATTGTGACAATAATTTCGATTCTAACAAGATTTATATAGCCAAGAAACTACTTGTTTTTGCTCTATTCATCCTCTTAAACGCTTTTCCCTTCTTATTTATCGACTCGGAAACGAAAAATGTGGTTTTTGTTCCTTCTTATTCCTTGATTCAAACTGTTTTTTTTTTTTTTTTACTTTCTAATTTGTGAGGTATACACTCTTAGTTTTATAATTTCATTTACACTAGTTGAACTTTGATTGAAGAAGAAATCAACCAAAATAAATTGTTCTTGATTTTCATCTTCGAAAGTGAATAGAATACAGAAAAATAACCAAACGAAACGAAATTAAAAACTCACCAGACGCCGAGGGTTGCGGGTTAAAGCACTGTACTCCGAGTGAAACAAAACAGAGATAAGTACTCTAATTGATTGCTCGAGCGTGAGACTGTGAGAGGGACGACCGGCGTAAATTTCGTCGGAAGGCTGAGACTATGGCAGCCGCTGACACGACGTCCGGCAGGGACGGCGGAGCACTGTGACAGTTGCTGGTAATGAGAGGGAGGGCGTGGCTGAAGGTGAAGTAGGGTTTAGGAAGAAAGCCAGTGGATGGTTTTACAAAAATTATTTGAATTTATTTATTATTATTATTATTTTAGAAAAAAAGATTAAAAAATAAATTAAATTAAATTAAAAAATTAAAAATCTGATAATTAAATTAAATTATACAAAATACCATCTAAATTTTAATTATTCTCAATAAAAAAAATTAATTTATTCTAAAAAATAAGCATATAGATAAGATTTAATTTCTAATATATGAAAATAAATGGAGAACATTTTGAAAAAAAATTAATATTCTGATAATAAATTAACTTTAATGCATTTTGATAATGAATTAATTTATATTATCACGCATTTGAAATTTAAATATTATTTCTATTCAAAAATTAATTTTTCAATTTTAAAAATATATTATATTTAAATAATATATTCATTTATATTATTTTGTTTTCTTCAATTAAATAAAAAAAAAATTAGATTTTGAATAAACTTTTGGAATTAGGATTCATGAATTAATATAATAAAATTGTAAATATGGATGTATGGATCGTCCATGAATTAAAGCCCAATAAACACGATATTGGGCCCAACTTTGACTTTTCACACTAAATTGGGCCGCTTCTTTATAATGTTGACAAGAAACCTTTGGGCCAAGCCCACTACTATTATTCTTCCATATATAGGAAATTGGGAATAAATTATACTTGAAAATACTCGAGTAAACATTTATTATAAAATATTAAAACAAAATATATAATTTTGAATATATTCATCGTTCATTCAAGAAAAATGAAGCTAGTAAGACTCTGTGTCCCCGATTGAATTAGGATTTGGCATCCAGATTTGGTATTTGAAGACCACGATGTTCGTCTAGATCTTGAACAATATGGTCATGTTACCTACTTATCTTGAACAACTTTTAACATTGAAGACTATTCTCATAGACAACGACATGTTTTTTAGAAAAATTTATGGTCGCTCAACATAGAATTGCTTCTGTAACGACCCAGATCCACCGCTAGCAGATATTGTCTTCTTTGGGCTTTCTCTTTCGGGCTTTCCCTCAAGGCTTTAAAATGCGTATGCTAGGGGAAGGTTTCCACACCCTTATAAATGGTGTTTTGTTCTCCTCCTCAACCAATGTGGGACATCACAATCCACCCCCCTTCGGAGCCCAACGTCCTCGCTAGCACTCCGCCTCGTGTCTACCCCCTTCGGGGAACAGCAAATCGATGTGGGATCGCCACTAAATCCACCCTCTTTGGGGCCAGTGTCCTTACTGGCACACCGCCTTGTGTCTATCCCCCTTCGGGAAATAGCAAGAAAGCTGGTACATCGTCCGGTGTCTAGCTCTGATACCATTTGTAACAGCCTTTTTGAGCATTGTGATGTCCCACATTGGTTGGGGAGGAGAACAAAACACCATTTATAAGGGTGTGGAAACCTTCCCGACGCGTTTTAAAGACTTGAGGGAAAGCCCGAAAGGGAAAGTTGAAAGTGGACAATATCTGCTAACAGTGGATCTGGGTCGTTATAGCTTCAAACAAAGTAATTGAGCCACCAAAAAACAAGACACACATTCCTTTTCAACAATCATTAAAACTCCAACGCTAACCATGTTTAGTTCTGAGGAATTTTGTGTTGACACCTCGTGTGGATCGTGTGTAGAGAAGTACTACACATCCGATTTGTCTAGACTAGAGGCCACCTAAGAGACTATGATTTTAAATGATGAGTTTCTATTCATGATGACATGTGTTTCATTTCGTGACCCGAATAGTGAGCCACTTACTGATTATTTCTTAAAATACTCAAGTCATGTGTTATTCTTATATTTCAGATAAGGGCAAGACACCCTTGTACGGTTGACGGCAGCATCGCATCAAAGACCATGAAACCTACATAAGGTAGTTGCATTCATTTTCGTAGATCTTAGATTAGTATAAAACATCGATCTTTTAATATTTTTCTTAGTTTTATTTTAATTTACTGAATATTTCCTTTGTGGTGTCTTTAAGACTAGGGGTGCGCATTCAACCCGACAACCCGGACCAACTCAACCCGAACTATAAGGGTTGGGTTGGGTTGAATTAGCATTTCAGGTAGAGTCGGGTTCATTTTTCTAAACCTAAATTGAATCGCTTCGGTTTCGGGTTCGTGAATAAAATCTTTGGGTTGACCCAAGCCAAATAAAAATATATAATTCATAAAAAATATATAATTGTATTTCTAAAGTCATATGACTCATCTTTAAATCCGAATTTAATCAACTTGAACTATCCAATCCAGATCATAAACATTGAGTTGGGTTATATTTTTTTATCGGTTAAGTCAGATTAAATTTTAAAAAAATAAAAAATTTGAATCGATTTACAGGTTGACATTTTCCTAATCAGATCAACCCGATTAACTCAAAAATAGAATTACAATCTAATTTTACTCTACTTTAAAAATTATTATGAAAATTAAAAATATTTGACGTATAAAATTAATATTAGTAATGCACGATAAACATGTGAATATTTAATGTTTGAATTTTATAAAATTTTAATTATTAATGTAATATATATATTAAATAATTAAAAAAAATAACCCGACACCTCAACCTGAAAATAGAAGATGGGTCGAACATCCATAAATAAATATTTAACTAAAAAAGGAATTAAAATAGCATTAATAATCCAATAAATAAATAAATAAATAAAAGGATTAATAATTGTGTTAAATGAATTATGCCTCATTGAGAAGTTCAATGAATTAGTTATAAAATAATAATAATAATAATAAATTAATTAAAATTAAAATTTTATTTATTTATTTATTTATTTTTGGTTTTAAGTGGATGTGAATATTGTAGTTGAGTCAACTGTTGTTAGTGCAATTTTGACCATGCTTTTTTTTTTATTCCAAAAAAGAAAAAATCTACTTTTTCTGCACAAAATCTTACAAAATTGATTTTTTTGGATTTGCTTTTTAATTACTTTTTAAAAAAGATTTAGCTTTTTTTTTTTAATTTCTATTTTCAAATAATTTCATGATATTTTCTTTATATTTTATTTTTATTTTTTAAGGTTGGATTATATATGATTTTAGCATTGTCCCATAAATGCATTTGTTTTCCTATGTTTCTAGATAATATATATTTTTTTTTATCTTAATTGTTAAATATTGTTGATATAAACCACTGCTACAACAAACCTTGTACACTTTTATTCGTGAGCTCATCAAAAGAAATTTTAGAAGATGTTGAAGACCTTCCTTTTATGTTGTGCAAAGTTGAGCTTTAAGAAAGAGATGCATTAAATGCACTTTAAGTGGCATTTAATGAACTCAGTTGAATTTATGGAACTAGTCAAATGAGAACTAATAAGCCCATTTCATTCATTCATTGCACTATTTAATTATTATTTAAATATTTACAACCGTAGCCTATGCGACACATAACTCTCAAACTAAATCGACTAGTAAATAAGAAATACTCATAACTTTGATATTAAAATGGCTCGTTAATGGATGGTAATCTATGTGGGTTACAATATAGCCTAACTCCTCTGTTAAAAACTAGCTTAAAGATGACAAACAAATATTTAAATTATAATTAAATAATGCATGAAATGTGTTTATTAGTGACTAGTTCCATAAATTCAGTTGAGTTCATTAAATGCTAGCATTTAATGCATTGCACCACATATAAGGGAAGTCTCTAACGTCTTCTAGAATTTCTTTTGATGAGCTCACCATAACTTGAATATAAGTGTACAAGGTTTGTTGTACCTTCTTGGCTCCCGTCCTTATAATTGGACCTTGAAGTAGGAAAATTCCTTGGTCGTGGTTCGTATCAATTGAATAAAAATTATTATTATTATTATTATTGTTAATTTTCTATTAAATCAATTTAGTATTTTTTTTTTGTCCATTTATTCGATTATTAGAATTCGAGTGAATTTATATTTAAAAAATTAATAATTTCTAGAAGGTCGAGTGTTTTTTTTTTTTTTTTTAATGAAGTCAAATGTTGCGTAGTTGTCTTGTTGCATCGTGTCATTTCGAACTATCTTTTCTTACTTTAGGGTTTAATTGAGACGAGATGCTTAGTTGAGCTGTCAAATGACTAAAAATTTCGTGTATTAAAATAAAAAATTTAAAATTTAAAATTTAAAATAAAATTAGAATTAAAGTTTAAATAGAAGACATTGCTTAGATCTTTAAATTAAGATTAAAAAAATATTCGGGTTGGTTGGGCTGGTGACACGAGCAACTTAAATAGAGATAACAATCTAACCCTCTATTTTCAGCTTGAGTGGTCGAGTTTAATCCTATTTTCAAATTAGTCGGGTTAATTAGACAAAAAAAAAAAAAATCAACTTGCAAAACCGAACCAAATTCTTTATTTTTAAAAACATTCAACCCAACTATTATTGTGGCAGCCTAAACCCATCATTACCAAATATTGTCCTGGCTTCTCGTCGACTAGGAAAAGGTTTCCACACCCTTATAAATGGTGTTTTGTTCTCCTCCCCAATCAATGTGGGGTATCACAATCCACCCCTTTCGGTGTCCAACGTCCTTGCCGACACTCGTTCCTTTCTCCAATTGATGTGGGACCGCCACCAAATCCACCCCCTTCGGAGTCCAGCGTCCTTACTGGCACACCGCCTCGTGTCTACCTTCTAAATGGTGTTTTGTTTTCCTCCCCAACCAATATAGGACATCACATTTATAGTTTGAGCTGAGTAGTTCAAGTTATCGAGTCATATAAACACTCCTAACGTTCACCGACCATACAATTTATTACCAATCGATGACATATAATCGAGAAAAGAAGGGTATAATTGCAAAATGGCAAAATTAGAAGGACTTAATTGCAAAATGAAGGGAAAGATAAACATGGGTGGACCCACAAGAGTAGGGTATGGCCATAGTTTTTGGGATAGGGTGAGTGTCCATTATTAGCGGAAGAAGCCCTTCAAGTAGCTGTCTCCAATTCCAATGCCACTTCATGATCACAACCACCCATTCATTTGGACCTATTCTAATC